AACCAAAGATTCGATTTAAAACGGGTTCGGGAGTCGGTTACATATGGGGAACGATTAGCACCCCCACAACGCCAAAAAACTGGTACTGTGTCACTTACACGTTATCGTAAATGGTGAAAATAATGAATTCACATCAACAATTAAAATATGATTCATTTATCGAAATTAATTAATTTTCTTGGAATTATTTAATTAGGAAAAATTCTTTAACTTGAAAAGAAACTTTGAGATTAACAATCCTCCATCGGGAAAGTTATCTCATCTATTTCTTATCCGTAAAAAATATTTCCTCATCTATTAAAAAAATACAAATTGAATATAAATTAAATACGGACAATTTGTATGAAATAAAATAAATTGTTATTTCAACAATACTCATTGCATCATTTGAATTACAATAGAAACAAATTAATTAGTAAAACAGAAATTGATTTATTTCAAATTTTCCTTTCGTTTGAATGTTGTATTGAATCGCACCTCCTCCGTAAGGTGGTACTTTTCACACCCATTTTACGACGAATGTTCTTGAAAAACTCAAATAAATAACATAAAATGTTGGCAATTAGATATTTTACAAATTAGTCATATGTAATCACATTGAATAAAATGAATAACATTAATAATACATTTTCATACATGATATACAAAGGCAAAATTAAATTTAATTAATAAGTATATAATTGTATATGATAACATGTGTATGAAATAATAAAAATAAATTAGTATGTATAATATTGAAACATGATATGTACATAAATATTATAGCATATGTTTAAAATATATACATGAAAATATGACTACAATAACATAATTAAACTTTATAGACAGACTAAAATGCATAAATCTAAAATACATATCAGATCATAAATAAAATAAAAAGAATCGTGACTAAAATAAAAAAGAATAAATCAGTAGTTAAATTCATAATAAGCAAAATAATATACATAGTGACCAAATTGAAACAAGATAAAACATAATGTCCATATCAAAACAAACTAAGAAAACGAGTCATCTAGGGACTATAATATAAATGATGGAAAAGTACAGGCTTGAAATAGAATAACATAACTTTTCATTTAATGGCTACAACAGAACGTTACAAATACATGGGGACCTATAGTGCGATTTACCCTAAAAATATGAGAAACACAGGTGAGTTTCTCAACCTGCAGGGACTAAATATGCCATTATCCCCTTAAACAGAAAACACGGGAATAGGGTGCCCAAACGACTGTGTTTTGCGTTATATATATATATATATATATATATATATATATAATTTAAAGGCCAAAAGGCCATCCCCTTTCATTTGCATCGGTTTTAAACCGAGTGAGGGGAGAGAGAGCTTCAAACGCTCTCAACTCTCTCCTCCACAGAGAGAAGAAGCAATGGCCACTGGCGAAACTCAAGGCGGAGTTCACGGTGGCCGGCGGTGGTCGGAGAGAGGAAATCACCTCAAAAGCATTCTCTCCTTACTCTCATCTCGAAACCCGACTCCCCTTAGCCTAAACATCCCCTAAAGCAACGAATCTAGAGGTTTACCTCTCGGAAATGGCGGCTCCAGCGACCTTACGGATTCCACGCCTCGAACAAAGGTAAAACCTCTCTTTATTTTTCTCCTTGGTTTTGTATTTTCTTGTTTGGTTCGAGTAGTTCTCTTTTTCCTTGTTTTTTTCTGGTTTTTTCGTTCCTCCCCCTAAACCCGAATGCCCTCTCTATCTTTTCTTCTTTCTTTTATCTTACTTTGCATGTTGATTTGTTGATGGATTTGAGTGATTGGTAGGGGAATGATACCCTAGGTTGATATAGTCCCGATTTCTTTTTGTTCCTCTCCTCTGTTATAGTTGCTTTGGGTTGCTGAAAATGATTAAGTCTCTTGGTAGGGAAATAATGCCCTAGATTAGGACAAGATTTGCTGTAGATTTATTCTGACTTCTTATTATTTTTCTTTCTCTGATTTGCTCTGATTTTCGGCTGATTGATGGATTCGGTCACTATGGATGATGGATGGGCTCTGATAGGCTCGGGAAGCACTCGGCGGTGAGAGAAAACTCGGCTCACGCGATGGCTGGAGCGATCTGGAAGGCCAAACGACTAAGTTGATGATATTTTAGGGTTTCAAACCCTAGACTCTACGTGATCTGGACCGTTGGATGGGTCCAGATCCAACGGCCAGAAATGAGGCGGCTGGAACAGAGAATGAGAAACCCTAGAGTTAGGGTTTAGCTAGGCTTATATGCTAAATGGGCTCCGAGATTGGGCCTTTGTCTGGGTAGGTGATAGCTGGGCTTGTAACTGGGCTTCGGGTATGGCCTGTAAAAAATGTAAAATTTGTAAATCAATAATAATAATATTAATAATAATAATATAACGATAATAATAATATTATTAAAAAAACCCGGACAAAAACGGGTGTCTACAGAAAGTTCTTCCTCTTCTTCCAAATTTAGCAAGGAAAAAGGTGTAATTTCTAGCTCTACTCCTAGATCGGCTCCCACTTCGGTGCATGATGATGATGAGTTAGAAGAGGATATTGGTGAAGATGAACAATATAATGAAAATGATGGAGATGGTTATGAGGATAATTATGATTTGGAGTTATGATGTATTAAACTAAGTGTTTGTTACTTTGCTTTGGTTTTTTTTAAAGTGTCACAACTTGGAACATTAAGATTATAATATTTGCTTTTCTTTTTATTTCTTTTATTTAAACTATGTTTTTTATGTTAGTTTGTGTGGTGTTAGTTGTTAGTTTATACTTGATGGTGCAATGATATTGAATATTGTGATCTTTAAATAACTATAATATTATATATCATGTTATTTTGAGTACAAAATATAAATTACATTTGATCTATATAATATAGTATAAACAATGCGTTTCACATACGAAAGGTGCGTGTCTGTGCCTTGTAAGTAGGCTTCAGAGACCTTTTGCGCCTCGGTGTACCTTGTTCCCTTAAAATCCAAGAGCATTCTTATTTTTATGAGATTCATAATGATGTTCTAGATTAGCGATTATACTATTGAGCTTTGTAAGCTAAGCATTCGGATGTTTTCATTCGTAGGTTAGTAGCTTGAGCCATTTGAACCGTCGCAGTAGGATTTCTAGCATTTCTTATAGAGTATTATATTGTTCTTTTAGTGGGCATGTATATGTATAGGACCTTTTGTATTGAATTTATAAACTCTGAGGTTCATATTATTTTGATTTAAACTATGTCACAGAGTTTCGGATTATAAAAGTATTTTTATAACTTGTATGGATGTCTATTTTGATAAACATATTGCATTTTAAATAGAAATGAAAAAATTTTATTTTAATGATAGATTAGCCTCAGTAACATAATGTAACACTTTGGACCCATACGGGTAGACATTGTAATCTTAATTTCAACCAATATACATTTTCCGTGTTAATTAGGTTTTCGAGTAATAAAAATTAAGTTCAATATTTATAATTCAAAAATATAGGGGGAAAATTGGAATTTATGTGATAATTACTTGTCTAACGTCATCAAGAACTCAACATAATACATACATACATTTACATGTATATCATTTATTAAAATCAATAATAATTACTTTAAAAGTATTAATAATAATTAAACTTTTTCATGTGAGGTTTATTTCTTTATATGGAACCAACGTTTAATGTGATATATACCTTTAGAAAGGCAATCGTGCTTATCGGTACATGAAAGGATTTAGATAGAGAAATTAAAAGCAAAATTATTGGAATTTATTAATTCCATCATGGTTGATTTACCAGCAGCAATAATGATGATGCATCCAACTACTTATAGATCTAGAGTTAAACTTTAATTATCTACACAGTTTTTGAAAATTATTTAAATGTTTTTAAGTCTAAATTAATTTATTATTTGTAATAAATATAAGAAATATTATTTTAATTCAAATCTAAATCTAATAATATTATCTATCATTCATATATCTTAATCCATTAATTTGAGTTACTGAAGTAAAATTTGATCAATGAGATTAGTTCAAGTGGTAAATAGTTTGATATCGATTAAGTTTTAAGTTCAAGTTCTTGTGTATATGAAAAATTCCCGTTGGAAAACTCACCCACTAAAATCTAGTGTACAATGCAAGTTGATTCGGATTAATAAGGATAAAACCCTGAAACCAGGAGTACAACAATAACAATAAAAAAAGTCAAATTTATTATAGAAACTTTCAGTTGATAGTAATTCAGATTCGAATATCTGATTTTACTCTTTGTTAAAATAAAATGTATTCAAACAGTTATCTATATGTTTAAATCCATATAATTAGCGAAAACAAAAAATCAAATTATTTTATTAGACTTTATACTATATGTAAATTATGAATTTAGTCTTTGTATTCTAATTTGTTTATTTCTACTTCTTATACTTTTCAAATTTTAAAAATTTAGTCCTAACATGAACGATAGTTATTAAATTTGTTAGGTCAAATTATGCCATTAGTCTCTTTATTATATGCATAAACTGTAAATTTAATTTATTTTTTAATTTGATTTTTTAAGTTCTTATAATTTAGTCATATTGCCTCCTATATAATTTGGGTCATGACTGAAATTTTAAAATTAAATATAGTATTACATTTTATTATAAATTTTGGGTGCCAAAATGAAATAAAATTAATAGTTTAGGTATTAAATGTATAGTTTAACTAAAATTATTTTATTATATTTTTCAAAATTAGTCCCACGTTAAATTTAATAAATTCAAGAAAGAAAATCCAAAATCACTACACAAATTTAGAATTACACAAGCAAAGGCGTTTTAACTTTTTGCCTTCTAAAAAATCGAAAAAGAAAAGGATGAAATGAAATTAGAAAATTAAATGTAATAAATTAATATAAAACACTGTCTCCTCCTCTGTTTTTTACTCTCCATAAAACCCTAAAACAACCCACATTAATCACACACACACACAAAATTCTTTCTCTTTTTTTTTTGGAATAATAAATAAAACGAAACTTTTTTTCCAGAGAGCAATCAAACCTCACGTGTGTTGCACATCAAATTACACAACTAAGCAAAAGAAGCAAAGGGATGATGCATGGTGATGATGATTATCTCTAGGAGAGATGACTAGTTGTATCATGTCGATCATCGCCGCCATCAACTACGCCGTGGTGTGAATGTGACCCGCTAGCTTGTGACTCCGATATGCCGGTGCCCGGAACTTGCCGATAAGGATTCAATCCTGCTAACATATTCAAATGCCCTTCATTTATGCCGCCACCACCACCACTTACAGTGCCGCCTGAACCCAATTGTTGACCTGACAATAAGGCCATTGGCGTTGGAAAGTTGATGAAATTATGCAACCCACTAGATATAGTTCCCCTATACAAACCACTGTTATTAACCGTTGGAAACGTCCATATAGGATCACCGCTCATGATCTGATTATTAGGATTAGTAACCATCCAAAAATTCGCCGGAATCTGAGTCTGACTTGCCGCCGTGCTGGACTGCAACAAGCAACTTCCCATTTGATGTTGTGAAGATAAATCTTGCTCCGCTCTTCTTTTCCTTCCTAGAACACCTTCAGTGTCTGATATATTTTCCATTGAAGCTGTACCATCGTTGTCACGCAACTCTTGCTTGGTCGGGAACATGAAGTTCAAGTTACTACTTCCGGTCGTACTAGTTTGGAAGTTGAGGAATGTCGGCGTCGTTTCGAGCCCGATTCCGGGGAAAAAGCTCCGGCGTTGTTGCATAGAGAAATTGGAGTTTACACCCGAGGATCGAAACTGAGAAGGAACCGACATGCTGGAGCCGGAGCTACGGAGGGAGACATTGAGGGAGGTGAAATTTGCTGGGATAGTGCCGGTACCCGTGGCGGCGATCACAGCCGGTTCAGCTTGTTGGAGTAGCCACTCGATGGTTTCACCGTCGGATTTATGGCCTAGTTCACGGGTGAGTTGGAAAACCCTAGCGGCACAAAGAGCCGGCATGCGGATCCTACGACCGCGTCCCTCGACCTTGGTGTGTCGGTCCTTGGTCGAAGTACGTTTGGGAGGCGGTTTCTTGGGAGGTTCCGGCGAGATTTGGAGGGTCGAAATGGAACCGCTTGTGTTTGGTTGATCGGCGGAGGAAGAGGAAGTTGCCATGGAAGGGAAAGTAAGGGAGGAACAATGCTGGCTGTTATCTTTTTCTTTCTTCTCCAGCAATTGGAATGGAAAATCAGGGCGGTGCGGGTGGTGGTGAAGTTGATAAAGCTGGTGGCTGTGGCTGTGGTGGTGGAGTTGATTACCATCATTATCTCCTCCCTCCATGATACCATGAAAGAAGTATAATACAGGTGTTTTCTCTAATGCGCTTCCTTTTTCTTTATGAAAGATGACTTGTTGTGATGACGATGACAGATAGTTTTCGATTAGTTTAATTTTGGCCTGGAATTCCTTCGAGAATTATATCATATGGTTATTTTTTTCATATAAAATAAAATAAAAAGTAAATATAATGTGGGGTAATGTTAATGTGGTTGGACTGACAGGCACATTGGTTCAGATTCCACGTGAGGGTGCCCTTATCATTCAATCCATAAAGACAACGGTGACCCCATCCCAAGTCAAAAATATGGAGTACAAAAAAAATTTAGGGTAAATTATGTATTTAGTTATCCACTTATTTTAACAGTCTTATTTTATTTATTTAATTATTTTTTATAATTATATCTAATATTATTTTGATCATCAATAGTAAAGTAAATAAAACCGCTATGTGTTTTTTTGTTTTTTTATTGATGACGTGAAATTACTTTATGATGATACATCAATATTACTGTTAGTTTTTTTAATGACGAGTGATCAAAATGAAACTAGAATGAAACGTTAGTGATGATTTTGAGAAAAAATAGTTAGATGATCAAAACAAAACCAAAGCAATAATTTAACTACTAAATAAGTAATATACCTTAAAAGATTTTACCAAAAAGGGACCCTAATCTCATTCATGTAATTTTGCCTTGGGCATTTGCCTTTGTTTTCAACCTTTGTTTTGGGTGCACTTTGGGATTCCTCTCTACCCAATTGCAGGGTTTACCAAAAAAAAAAATCAAATCTTTGATCAATTCTTTGGCCCCCTTTTGATGATTAAAGAGAATTAAAAGCAATCACTTTGGACTAAGACTTTGTTTGCTGATAAAATCCCTTGGATTGTCTGAAATGCATGTGAAAAGTAGTAGTTTTCTTTCGACCAGGGATTACAATTTTTTTTTAAATAATTTTATATGATTATAAATTTATATATATTTATAATTTTTTTTAACTATTGATAATACACGGCCTACATATACATGTAATTATTTGAACTCGGTGTTCAATGAATTCAGATTGCAAGTTAATAATTAACTGATTAATTTAGATTTTCCTTTAATCTTGTTGATGGTGGAAAAGTATTGTTTCATCCTATACAGAGCATTTCCCCCCAGTCTCTCACTGGTAAAAACGTAACAGCCTGGTGGTAGGTGGTGGTTAATTCACCTGAAAAGCAGAGAAAAATGTACAATGATGAAGATAGCCTGTAGGCCTTCTGGAGCCAAATCTGGCTAATCATTTTAATTAATTGGATCTTGGGAGCTTCTTAAGGCTCTCATCAATGATTCTCTCTTTCATTTTGGGATCACAATTCATATGGTTACTGTAAGCTCACTTAGTTGTTCTTTTTTATTAAAGTATATATTTTTTTCTTAACATTATGGGTTTAAATAGATGTCTATAGATTGTGTATGTATTATCTATAAATTAAAAAAATTATAAATAAATATTATCTTATAATCATCTCAGGCTATTTAAAAAACATTATAGTTATTATTTCTAAGGCTCATTTCTATTCATTCTAGAATAATAGAAAAGTTCAACCTTCCACCTATATATACATACTACTTCTATATCAAAAAAATGCATAAATTATATTTCAAATTGATTTTTGGTGCCTAAAGATTTTTTCATTAAAAGTATATATCTAATGTTTTTTCTGTTATATTTTAAGTTTTTTACAGTTATAAAACCCGTTAAGTGACACATGTCATATTTATATTTTTTATTTAAAATAAATAAATATTAGTTAAAAATATGAACGTGACATGTGTCACTTAACGGTTTTTTTAACGGTATGCACCAAAAAATGTAACAGAGAAAACACTAGACATCTATTTTTAACGAGAAATTCTTCAGGTACCAAAATTTAATTTGATATATAGTTTAGACACATAAATGTATTAAGCCAAAAAAAAAATACCCCACAAATATTTGTCATCTTCTGAAGTCGTTGTCGATCGAACGGCAATGACATTCATTAATATGCATGAAAATGTTTTCTCAACATCTACTCACAGTGTTCTCGCTTGCCTCTATGAAAAGATGTTGAGCTCCACTTTGTTAATGTAAACATGACTGGATAATTAATCCACTATCAAAACATTGAGTTATTCGAGTTGAATCTAATACTCAAATTAATTTGTGTATTATATATGATATATTTGAAGGTAAATTTTGTGGTCAATATTTATATATTGACTTCTTTTCATTCTCTTTTCTTGTTCCTTTTCTTCTTATTCATCTCAAAAGTTTGGAACTTTAAGAAAATCAGATATTTTTGTGCAGATTTCCAATCGTTCAAATTCTAAGAAAAAAAAACCCATCATTTTTTTTTGTGAGCTTCAAGTTTCTGCATAAAGAGTATCAGTGTCTAGCATAAGATATGTCTGATATCGATACTTGATGAATATTAAATAATACTAAAGAAAAATTAAGAATCTTAATACAGAGTATCAGTGTGTAGCATAAGATATTAATATTATCCTCAAGATATAAGTACTCTAGGTCTGATATAGATACTTTTTATACGTGGATTTTGTTTTTCAAACACTAAAACTGAGTTTAGTATCAACAATTTGTCCGAGTGTCGACACAATCTCTCGGTGTCGATACACTACTTAGTTTTGGGTAGTTTTTGGTTTGATGGGTAACTTTTTGACACGTCTAAACTTATTCAACACTACTAAATTCTAGATTGAGTATAAATTATTATACTAAAAAGATTAGTATCACTTCTATGGTTTATAACGCTATAAATGTTTTAAGTACTCAAAGTACATGGGACACAATAAAATTACGATAGTATCAGAGTCGGCTTTAAGTGGAGTCTCCGCTTTCTATCTTAATTATTAAGGTCCCTAGTTTTTCTTAATTTTATAAGGTTGTTTCCAGTTTCTTTTAATTATTAAGAACCTCTTCTTTTTTCAATTTTATAAACTTGTCCACACTTTCTAGATTAATTATTAAGGGCCTCTATTTTTTTAATTTTATAAAATAATCCTCACTTTCTACCTTTACAATTGAGGGTCCTTAATTTTTTAAATTTTATAAAAATGGCTCACTTTTTACCTTATAATTGAGGGCTCCTAATTTTTTTACAATTCCATAAAATTATCAATTTTCATCTCTTTCTTTCTCTCATTAAATCATTCAACTTTGAATTAGATCGAATAGTAAAATAATATATATTATTGTTCATTTTTTTATTTATTGTTCAAATCAAGCTTCATATCATACTTACATTCAATTTTTTATTAATATAAAAAGTAAAAATAATGTATTTGACCAAATTTAATCATTTTTATTTATTTTGATAGTATAATATTAAATTGAATATTCAAAACAATAGAATTTATTTTTATTTTATAGGGTTTACTTTTAAGTTTTTGCTCAAAGTTCAGAAAAATGCTTGGATGTTATGAAATAAATTTAATGGCTCTGTTGTTGTTGTTACACGATTTTTTAAGCAATATATTATAGTATACGATTTTAGTGGCACATGTCAGTTATGCGGTGTAGCGTCTTAGTATACGGTTAAAATAAAATATTATCGATTTTATTATTATTTTAAATAATAAAATCGGTAAAAAAATGACCGAAAACATCATTATTTTGATCAGTTCTAATTATCTACATAGGTAAATGCGGTAAAAAAATTCGATCAAAAATGATGTTTTCAGTAAAGCGCTACCTAAAATATTATTTTACCGCGTTTACCTATATAGGTAATTAGAATCAGTCTAAATAATGATATTATCAATCATTTTTTTATCAATTTTATTATTTAAAATAATAACAAAATCGATAACGCCTCTTTTAACCGTATACTAAAATGCCACACTTGAGCGTTTCCCTATGTTATAAGCAATATGTTTTTATTAAAATTTTGTTAAGTACAGAATAAACCTATACATTTAAATGAATAACACAATTTTGGTAGGATATATCTAATTTTTTGCATGAATTCATTTAAGGTTGAGAAAATCGCTTCAGTGACCAAAAATGCCTGATAATATACGATTTTAACCAACTTTTTTTGGATTTGCCAAAATGACCAACAAAATCGCAACGCGAAATAAAAATCGCAACGCGATCCCCAGAATCGCAAATCAGTTTCCAAAATCGCAACGCGATTCTTGAAAATCGCAATGCGATAGTACAAATTCGCATTGCGATTTTCCAGAATCGCAACGCGAATATGAAAATCGCAACGCGAACACATAAATCGCAACGCGTATCTGTAAACCGCAACGTGTATCCGTAAATCGCAACGCGTATCCGTAAATCGCAACGCGTATCCGTAAATCGCAACGCGTATCCGTAAATCGCAACGCGTATCCGTAAATCGCAACGATAATCCGTAAATCGCAACGAGAATCTGTAAATCGCAACGATAATCCGTAAATCGCAACGAGAATCTGTAAATCACAACACTGAAATTTTGGGTATATAACTACGCAACAGCAGTAAATCATAAACTAAATCCCTTAATCGCAACTCATTCCATCTCCATCTATCACTCTCTCCGGCGACATCCGTTCCTATATCCAACGACATCATTCCCAATCCGGCAACAGGTTTTAGTTTCGCAGCTCGTCTGTTTAGTAAATTAATTTACAACCATGAAATCATCTAATGTTGATCATGTTTGGATAGATTTGTGTTTTGGAGGGTCATGGGATAATGTTCATGGTGTTTTACAATATATGCCTTTACCCATGAATCTTCAACTAAAATTGTCTTTACAAAAGTTAACTTATGAAACTCTAATGCTACGTGTTTCAAAGAAATTGAATTTAGAGCCCCTAAGTGGATTTAGGCTATCTTATCAGAGAAATGGTAAAGTTTATTTGTTAACCGACAATGAAGATGTGAACGATTCATTGCTTACATTAGTGTTTCACAAGATGATGTTACATTGTATGTTGTTGAAACTAGAAGTAGTATTGTTGGGTCAGTAGCGGGTAGTAATCAACTAAGTTTTTCTCAAAACCCACAACCTTTCTCTAATCCAAATCCCAATCAACTTTCAGCACC